TATAGTCTGTTACGTATATAAAGTCTAATCTTAGTATTGGTCTACGTGTAAATTCGGTGTGGAATCATCGCTTTATCACTACGAAAAGGACGTATACTCGTGCTATAAGTTGCCGTCCAAACGTTCATCGAGGAAGAATTATAAATTGGCGACTCGCTGTTATCATTCGAAACGAACTGGAAGAGCTATTCTCTTTTTTTTACGAAGACTCACTTCTTGTAATTCAAGTCGAATGGGCGGGAACGATTGACTCATTGATATAGATCATTTGATTAAACTTACAATTACAATTGATAGTGCTGACTTTGGACAACTGTCTGAAAAATTTGACGTGTTACATTGGACGAAACATCTATATACGATTAGAATAATTTTTTCTATTTTCTTAACTGTCGCTTAGTTTATGTACGTTGAATACAACAGATTGTATCCAATAAACGAACAACATAATTGAACAACAAATTTCATCCGAGGGATGCCGATTCATTAAAAAAATCTTGTCTCTCTGATCTTCGACGCCGATAAAATGCAAGCCGCTCCACATCCTTAGCTACTTGTCGGATGCGAACACTCCTTTTCTAAGCTCGCCGCAGCAGAGAGAAGAAAAGTCAAAGCTCGACGACCGTCGTTCCTCGATACACAAGCGTCAGGGGAAGGACAAAATCGCTGAAAGTGAAGAGCGGGGCGCTCTCTGTAGGGCAGAAATCCCAAAGCCGCAGGTCGCAGTTTTCCGTTCGGTTCTATTCAGGCGTCGTCCCTACCGAATCCTATTTTCGGTAAGTGATCCGAAATAGGAGTGTGGAAGGGAGCTCGCGGCTGGCAAGTAATTTTGGACGAGCGCACTTAACGCCTCTTTCCCTTGCTTTACTTACACACACATATACGTATGTATACATAAGCATTTATATGTGTATATACATATATATATATATGCACGTATGTATGTATACTTTATGTATAAATGCATTATCGTCAGCTGCGTGCGGGCATTCAGTTAGGGTACGTCAGCTGGTAGTATTCGACGGTCTGTTCCTCCTCTAGCGCGCTAAAAGACAAAACATTGGCCTTCTTTTGGTCTGTACATCTCTCTCATTTCTGCTGAAGCACGCGACACGAAATAACATGAGCGTTCACACAGAAACACAAAAGCTCCCGGCATTGTCTTCTCGAACTGAGCCTACAATCGTCGTGCTATCGCATCGCTCTCTATTCTCTCTCGATAGATCTTACTTAGTTGCGTTTATTAACTTGTCTTAGCTTTTTAGAGAATCTGCAATGAAAATTAAATGTCCTTTAATCAGAGATCAATTCTGTGTGTATGTGTGCGTGTGTTAGTTTACAGTTTTTATTGTTCGGCTTTTGTTGGCTCTACATTCAATGTACACTTGTTTCGTTTGGTATTACAGAAATAAAGTTTTTTATAATATTTTCATATTTTCTTCGGATTTCAACGGAAGCAAAAATAATCCAAGAAAAACAAATAGAAATCATAGAGTCGAGTGTTTGAAAATTATGAGTATAATAAAATATTTGGACTATAGGCTCGACTTGTTACAGTGATTATTAATTACAATAAGATGTCATAAAAATGTATATCATGTATCTAACGTGTGCTCAACTAAGATAACGACCTAGCCAGAACTAGATGGAAAATTGACAACGCTACATTTGATCAGACCGTTCTACATTTTAAGAATAATAATTTTGTTCTCTAAGAAATTTTTAGAAAGCTTCAATCACAGAATTTCTCGTTCAGCTTGTTGCTGTAAAAATTTTACGTGCACTTAACGTCCCATGACGACAAATTCTTTTCTATAATGCAATCTTAAGCATGAATCATTTCGCAAGTTGAAAATCACTGTTCAATGATCCAGCTACGAATGAGAGAGTAAACAACAATGCGCGCGCACACACACACACACAGAATTCCTAAGATAACCAAATTAGCGCTAAACTAGATGCGTGATTTACATGAATTCCACGGTGAATCTGCATAATTATCTAACCGTATCAGTCACGGACTGACTAATCTTGGAAGAAAATAAACAAGCAACTCTTGTAGAGAGCAAGACGGGGTGAGGGGAGCAATTACAATTACCTACTAAAATAGAAAGTAAGACGACTTTTTCTGGGGCTTCTTTCGCAACACAGCAACGAAAACAAAACTATCATGCGATGTACCAACTGAAACGGGGATCACAAGAAAAAAGAAGGAAGAAGCATGGCTACGGCTTAGGAAACAATAACAGTCGATAGGCTCAAGCGATGTACATTGTATATATCCTCGATGGACGTATATTCGATGTAGCGATTATGGCGGTGCAACACGAAACGTACACATAGACCATTGATTTTGCAATGACTTCTCACCACAGGCACCAAGCATCGTTACCATTGCTTATATCATTTTACAACTCTCTGGTTTATAAACAAAACGCAAAACTTGGCGTCATCGCGCTTAAGTCACTTTATTTCGCCGCAACAGCAAGTAAATGATGACTGGTCGCTTCAAGTTCGCTGATTTCCCTTTTTTTTTCTCGCGCGATAAGATAAAAACGCGAACTGCTTAGCTGGCCGATCTGAGTTGCGTCCTCGCGCACAGCAAAAGAAAAAAAAACCGTTGTCGGAGAGACAAAACACAAAATCAAACGATTAAATTTAATCAAAAATATAATGGCGCGCCAGTTACTCGGTGTAGCGAGCAATAGATCACTCGCACGCGTTCCAAGCCAAACAGCTGACCGCAGAGCGCACTGTCATTGAACTTGTCGCCCCACTCACTGTATTTTTGCACTCGAGATAAAAAAAAACAAACAAGAGAACAGAGAGAGAGAGAGAGAGAGAAACCAACCACAAAAGGAGTCACTTCCTCGAGAGCACCACTTCGCTGGAAGAAAAAATCAGCGTAGTAACGATCGACCGAGCGACAGCCCGTACGACGCGACGGTGCGATGCTGACTGGCATCGCGCAGCGGCGATCAGTGCCGGCAGCGAGGCAGAGAGAGAGAGAGAGAGAGAGAGAGAGAGAGAGAGAGAGAGAGAACCACCGGCTGTGCGCTCGAGCGACCGCGCGCGCCGCGCAATACCGTCTACTCCGCTGCGATGCCCTTTTGCTGGCTTCACGGGAGGCCCCGACCTTTCGCGACCCCTAATGCTTTCCCTCGACTGCACCCCCGCAGAGGCCCAGCGTCTCCGGTAGTCCGCGCGACTGTCAGTCCGTAAAAGTATCGCCGTGCCAAAGTCGGTCGATCGATACAAACGCGGGCATCGTTCCAAAACCACTCGTTATCCTGCTCGACGGCGCGGACGCCGGAAAAATCGCGGATAAGCGTGCTCGAAGGAACGGCCAGCTTAGAATTTCAAGAATACGCGCAGCCTGGCCGCACAGCATTTCGAGGGGTACATCGCTGGGCAGGTAGGCTCGTAAAAAGACGAAACGTGCGGCTGTAACGCGAAAAAGATCTCGCTTGGATTTGGCTTCGTTGCTGGCGCAGCGTCGTCCTCGCAGCGGCCAAATGCCCAATTCTCGAACCGCTGCTCGGCGAATCGCGATTTTACCTGCGCTCTTCGCGGCGATTCCAAGTTTCGACTTGGCGCCGAGTTCGTTGACTAGCAGCAATCGATGGCCTAGTGTTACCATTAAGCAACATATAAACCGAAGCGTCACGCGAGGCTTCCTACTCGACTTCCCTTTCCTCCTACGTAAGTGTACGCGTGCGATCGTCGGCTTTCTTCTGTCCAATGAGTTACGCGATTTGCAAGCACGGGGAGACCGCTTACGTGCGTACGTACGTATACCAGGGTTGACGATACATAAAGACGTTTTGCTCAACTCAAACCGCGCACTTTCAAAACTTAAATTTTTGTTGAATTTCAAACTCGAGCGGCAATGTAGAAGCGTTTATCAATAAATTATCTTTTTAGATTGACATGAAAATCATTTGAAATTTCATATATACATATAAAGTACATACTTTTTTAAATGTGCAATTTTATCACGGACACGCTCGTGAAACTACACAATTGTAGGTGTATGAATCAATTTCTTTTATTCCGCCGACCGTGCTGCCATCAAGTGAAAGGTACGAACCGTATACCAGCGGTAGTCGAAGTAGTAGTTATTACCTTTTTACCTACGGTCTGCTCTACATCGTGAGTCGATAATTAAGATTACTTCCAAGTTTACTCAACGATTATTCAATACAATAATTTACAAAACTTTTGCATTTAACAAGCTTTCCTAAATAATTATTATGTTCAATGCAGCAATAGTTTTGTGTTTAAGTAATCTTGACTAGTCGAATGACAGATTTTGTATGTGACTTCACGGCTTATCTCATTGATTCCAAAAGAGATTGAAAATTTGTCAGCATTTTTTTTAAAAAAAAAGAACATCAATTGTAGTTGAATTTCATTGAAGCCAAGATTGTTATATCATTAATTTGTAAAATTGTCCACAATTTCACAAAATACATTTGCCATGAAAAGACTCAGCATGGGCTGTCATTATTTCATTCTTTATCTTCCATATTAATAAATACACAAAACACGTCGATTGTTTTCCATAATTTTTTGCTGACATTGAATGATACGCGTATCGAAGTGGACTGGAAACACTAAAGCGCGTACTTTGTAAAATAATCATAATAATTATAAAAAACGAAACTAATAACTGAAATAGCACAAAAGAAGCATGCAGCAAACGAAACATAATGAGGAAGTAGTAATGAAAAAAGCTGAATAGGGAAAAATTCGAAGAAAAGCTGTAGTTCGCATAATGTGCCGCTAATTCATGTAAATTTTTTTGCCATATAAAGCTACAATGTCAACAGACTGTACAGAATTATGACTTCATAATTCGTGCCTCTGTGACAAAAACATTGATTGAATTTTTTTGCGAATAAACAATTTTAATTGAGCTGCCGGCAAGTCGAGCGACTCGTGATAAGATCTAATTGTCTTTTCGCAAATTCATCTTGGATAAAAGCAAGTATACCCACCCTGACTCAGTATTTTGATTATTGTTGAGGCCGAGGCTGACATTGTTATTCGTCGAATTGGTGAGCGATTGCTGCGATCGAGTCAGCAAAGAGTTCCAATCCCTGATCACATCTTGTCCCTGTATTTCCAATTCTAAGAGACTCGTCGCCTCGTCGAGATCCTTCATGAGAAATTTCGAGTTTGACCTGTAAAGGTAAGAGCACGTTAGGGCCTGCGCCGTGGCTCGTCGCAATCCGTACAATCGCTCCAAGTACAACCGACGCACCGATTACTGACGTCCCCGAAGGAGCTGGCGTCGCTGCGCTCGTAGTCCATCATGAGATCGTCAGAGGCGAGTGACTCGCAGGAAGACAGTGTGCTGACGCTGCCAGCGCGATTCATTTTGCGCCCGTGCAGCGGGCTGTTCTCCGCGCTTCTAGCCTGCAGAGCGGCTGCAAAAAAAAGCGAGGCGGCGCTTTAGCCTTCTCCCGGGCGCGAGTGGGAAAGCAAAGGCGAGCGAGGACTGACTGATTTTGGGCGCGGACTCCAAGACGGTCTGGCTGTGCTCGGTGGTGTTGGCGACAGATGCCTCTCTGAGCGTCTCGTGGAAAACCAGTCCCGGCTGGTCGGCAATCTCGTCGTCGAAGAACTCCCTGCCCTCGGACAAGCTGAGCGAGTTGGAGGCGTTGGTGGGCGTGTCGGCACTGTCGTCGTCGACGGTGTTGGCCGAGCTGCTCTCCATCGGGCCGCTGCCCTTCCTCTTGACCAGCTTGGCCTCGGCCTGCGACACGCTGGCGGTCGGGCTGTCGAAGAGACTGTCGACCGGCGAAGTCTCGTCGTCGATGAGGGTGGTGGTGGTCGCGGCCACGGCCGCGAAAGCCGGGTCCTCGATGGTGAGCAGCACCGAGCGCAGCGTACTGTTGGGCAGCGCGCCGCACCTGGCGGCGTTCGAGATGGCCTTGAAGTGCTGCACGGTGGTCTGGGTGACGGTGTTGCAGGGCACGGCGGGCAGCGCGCCGGCCCGCCGCTCCAAGTCTTCGGCCGAGCCGAGCGAGAACTCGTCGGCCATGGCCTCGCCGCCGTGCCCGGCGAACTGCTCGTCCTGCTCGTCCTGCTCGTCCGAGCTGCCCGCGGCGAAGCGCGCGCGGCGCGCCGCCGACGGGGCCGCCGGGGCCGCCGGGGCCGCCACCGCGGCGGGCGGCTTCTCCGAGCGCGCCCTGTCCCGGCAGGCCTTCTCCTCGCCCAGGCCCTCGTCGTAGCCCTCGGACGAGGTGGTCGACATGGAGGTGCTCGAGTCGGCGTAGCGGTTGTCCTTGCTGAGGATCGCGCGCTGGTACTGGCTGGCGCGCTCGCGCACCAGGCCCGTGCCGTGGGGCCCGGCGCTCTGGCTCGCGCGGCTCAGCTGCTGCGCCGCGGCGAAGTGCCTCGGCAGCGGGATCACGGATATCTCGGTGACGACGCGCCGCTCGTCGTCGAGCTCGCGCACGTCGAAGCTCTTGCCGCTGAGCAGCACGCCCAGCCGGCGCGGCCGCTGCGGTCGGGCGTCGCGGCAGTCGTCCGAGTAGCCGCCGTGCTGACTGCCCAGGCCGCTGTCCTCGGTGCCGGAGCCCTCCTTGGAGCTGCAGCCGGCGGCGGCCGCCCGGCCGCCGACCTTGCGGCTCTGGTTGGCCGCGGTCTTGGCCATCTTCGAGCTGGTCACCACGGCGTGCTGCGGCTGCGGCAGGCTGCCCGAGTGCAGCGTGTACCGGCTGACCTGGCCGGCGACGTGCGCGGGCTGCCGCGCGCGGCTCTCGGCGTGGAAGGCGTCCTGGGCCTGGGCCTTGTCGGCGGTCAGCCGGGCCTGCTGCTGGTTGCGGAAGCCGAACCGGTTCACGCGCACCGGCAGCCCGCTGGCCTCCTTCTTCGGCGGCGCCAGGCGCGGCGTCGACCGGCCCGACGACGAGTACTGCTGGCGGCGCGAGCCCGGCGCGCAGCAGTCGTCGTCGGCCTGCTGGCGACGGCGCCACTCGGGCTCCGGGCCCACGGACTTGGAGCGCTGCTGCTGGGCCGCCTCCTGGTAGGCGTTGCCCGCGGCTACGGGCACGGGGATGGCCGAGACCGCGGCCCGCCGCCGGAAGCCGAACGATATGGCGGTGCCGCGGGTGTGCGGCTGGCCCCTCTTCGCCGAGCCCTTGTCCTGGAATCGAGGCCCCGCGTCGTTAGTTCGCTCTCGCGGGGGGACGCCTGATGCCGAGCGCCGCGCAGTGGCTTCCCCGTGCTGGGAGCACCGACCCGGTGGGCATCTGTATCCTTGGATCACGCGATCGCGGCGCGTGGATCCGCTCGCGATCGGCCAACACGCGATGACGCGCCTCGCCGAGGCGGCCAAGGTCGACGTGCGCTGGTAGACGAATTTCGCGACTCTCGCCATCGATCCGCCCACCCCCCGACATCGATCCAGACCGTTACGGAACTAATTTTCGTTGGCGCACCGTCATCGAAGTCGCGTTATTGCGCGGCAACGCCGCGCGACGTGTACGCGCTCGACGAGCGGCCTGCTTACCATTTGGCTGGCGGCGCGACGCGAAACGGGCTCGAGCGAGCTCTCGGCCGCGAAATTACGAGCCGCCGGCTATCGGAATGCGACGCTGATAAGGCGCGCACGCGAAGGAGTAATGGATGACGAAACGTTAGTCGGACTGCGTTCCCTTCTCCTCGCGAGGCTGACGCCGCCGCCGGCACTCAAGGACGATTCATTGCATTTGCCTTCCACACCTTCGAGGCAAAAGCTCCTTTATCTTCGTAGAACTTTGCGCACATAGGGCAGCGAAGGCTGGGCTAGTACATCTCTCTCGGGAGGTATGAGTCACGCAGGTGCGTGCTCGTCGGCGGCGGGGAAATATCGGACGCGCGTGTCGAAAGTTCGCGCAACGATCCCCCACTGGTCCGTGTCGCGCAGCCTCCATTTCCAAGGTTCGCTCCGACTGCACTGCCGCGAGCGGGAGTCCGTTATCCCGGCACTCGCGACCCTTACCAAGCTAGCCCCACGTCCGTACGCGGTGTCGTCGTCGTCGTCGTGGCTGAGCCCGTAGCGCAGATAGTCCTCCTCGAAGAATCTCTGCCTCGCCATCTTCCTTTCCATGTCTCTGTTTCTCTCTCTCTCTCTCTCTCTCTCTCTCTCTCTCTCTCTCTCTCTCTCTCTCTCTCTCTCTCTCTCTCTCTCTCTCTCTCTCTCTCTCTCTCTCTCTCTGTCTCCCTCTGGTCCGCTCTCAGCGGCTGCTCGCCATGCCGGATCCGGACGCTACCGAGTCCTCTCTCTGTCACGTCCCACGGCGGGTGGGCGACGTCGACTAGAGTTGTCGGCCCGCTGGAAACACCGTCGAGGCACTTGCTGGACGGCGGTCGTACGCCTTGCCGGGGTTCTGCGACGTATCGCGGTGCTACTGCTGCGGACGTCGGGGCAGCGCGCGAGCGCGATCCGACACGCGATTGATCCGCCCCAGTGCGCCGGCGTCGAGAGCACCGGAGGGGTAGTTGCCGCCAGTGCCGTACGCACCGAACTGAGCTTGCGGCCTTCTCTTCTTTGCTCTTGCTGCGCGCGATCGCCACGCTCCATAAGTTTCTTCCTCTTTTTTCGTATTTTTTTATTTTTTTTTCTTTGTTTTTCATTTTCGGACTTTCATACGTTCGCTGTCTTATCGAGTTCCGCGATAAGCTCGATTACGAGACTTCGATAGGCGAAAAGATTATGTATCGCTACGAGAATAAGGCGACCTTAGGTCTTATTTTTTCCGACCGCCGTCGAATGGACTGTAACAAATTGCAAAACGATCGTGGAGAGATTGTCGTTCGCCTTTTTCTAGAAAGACTTATCTCGCCTCTTTTTTGCCGAGTACACGTCTAATCGAGGTGACAATCCGAAATAAAAAGCCTCAGCGAGACTGTTCGATAGACGGCGGATAAGCGGAGTGCGCGGGCGCATTACGTAAAGCCGGTTATGAATATGCGCGAGCTGTAGCAGTCCATTGATTTGTTTATTTCTCTCTCCCTACGCGCGCGACGCGCGCTATCCCGTCGTCGAAGCTCGCGCGACCAGGTTCGACGGCAGGCCGAGTCGTACTCAGCGGCAACCGACGAAAGAGCGCAACTGGGAAGGCGAGACGCGCTAATCTGGGCCCTCGGCAGACTCTCGAGACTGGGTCGCGGCGCGCGCGCGCGCGCGCGAAAGCTCTCCAGGTCCGAGCGACCGATATAGACCGGCTCTATATATGCGTGTGCCTGCGCGCTGTGCGGACGTGCGACTTATAGAGTACGCGCGCACTGCCAAGTGGAGCAGAGCGGCGCCGAGGATAAAGAGGATAAAGGTGTGTCTTTGTTTTCGCCCGCTACTTTGGGTCGATAACGCCATTTTGGCTTTCCTTGCATTCGTCAACCCGACGAAACGTACATGAAAGGCAATTTATGATTTGTCGATCATCTCGTAAACAATGCGAATTTACATCTACAGCCTAAAGTAGTTGTCGTTTTCATTGCGCACCATAATTTACACGGTTGCTGCAAAGCAAACGTTTCCACTGAATGAATCAGAATGAAGTGGGTTTACGAGGCAGTCAAATCGAGAGAGACCATCGAAGCGTTATTGCAATTTATTCGCAGGCTGTAAAGAAAATAAAACCGGTGTCTCGAGGTAATGATTTTTTTACAATTAGAAAGATGCGAAAATCAATGTCACGGTTTTTTCTGAAAGTTCGCGAATGTATAGGAAGCATGCGCGTGTTGCGCGCGTCAAAAGGAAGATGAGAGAGAGAGAGAGGGAAAGAGAGGAGGCATGAGTCATCGCACTACATCCTCAATGTCGAATCAATAGCGGCGCCCGAGGCCTGTATATGTATACAGGTATCTATGTGTATGGCGAAAGTCAGTTTTTACGTCTATAGAAACATCGAGGCACTCTATAGGTGGCCAACGAGAGATTGTCCGTCTCGGTGAGAGTATCAAAAGACTGCCCTTTTCCCTCGCGAAAATAATGACGGCCACGCCGAGAGTAGAAGAGCGACATTCGCGACTGAAGGACAAGTTATTAGCAGTCGATTCGAGATCGCGAATCTTAGCTCCGGGCAGAGGGTGTAAACGCCTGTGCATTTGTTAATTTGCGCCACGCCCAACGGAAACTCTCCCGCGCGACTCGGCTATTTCATCTCTCTATCTTTCTTCCCGTCCTCGTGCCCGCGGCTTGATTCGTAATTAAGGGGAATTCGCGCGAGCACACAAAGGAAGTGCGAGGAGAGGAGCGACGCGGCGCGCGAAACAACCTCACGAATGATAATGCAGACGAGCATTGGCTGTCGAAACGGAAGCGAATTCCGCGAGCCAAGCCCAGCGTGACGGCGAATCGCACGCGGCGGCTGTTCCCATCGTTTTCTTTCTTTATTGCGATATTACGCGAGCTCGGATGCGTCTCGATTGGCGGAGCGTCGGCGAGTGAGCGTGCGGTTACATCGAGCGTTGCGCAACGGTGGCATGATTTCGCGAGAAGCGCGAGCCGCGGAGCGCGGGGGTGCACTTTGGGCGCGAGTCGAAACGATAAGACGCGTGACTGGCGCCTCGCTAAAGTCGATCGTCGATACTTGTTGCCGGGCGCGCCTGTTCAACGATCGGCTAGTTGTTCGAAAGCGAGTCGTTGCGCGCGGTGGCACGCGGAGAATTTCTCACGACGACTGGCAACACCAGCGAGAGACCCACGCGCAGCCGGCAACGCGAGGCGCAGCAATCGCCCTTATTCCGTGTGCGCGGCACCTTTCTCACGCGCGCACGGCAAACAAGAGAGAGGGCGCAAGAAACGAAGCGCGCAGACTGCGCCAAGTCGAATCGACGACGGGGCGCAGCTAGCGCGAGAGAACGGCTTTGTCCGGCCGCGAGTGCTTCGACCGAATCGCAATGATATCTCTCGCGCGGCCATCGTTTCCGGCGTTCGCTCCTTGCGCGGGTGAAAGTACGCGCGCGCGCCGAACGAGCGGGACCACGCTCGTCGCAACGACGCTCCGGCTCGACGGGATCCGAAGCTCCGCAACAAAACTATTAATAAACAAACGCGAATCACTCGTCGCGCTTGGCCGGCGATTTTTACATCTGGATTCACCGTTGCTGGATGCGGGCACTTTGCCGCGGCTACGGAAAAGAGATAAAAAAACGCGCGGGCGTCCGACGCGAAAGCGTACGGGCTGTGCGCCAACTCGGCGGACGGAGGCTTGGGCCGCTTCCCGTTTAACGACTCGCCGAGTTTCCGGTCAACCGCGCGAACGACGGCCTCGGCAAAAACGCAGCGTCGTCGCGCCCTGCGATTCGTCAGAATGTAAATGTCTCCCAGCGGCGAGAAGGCGCTGCTCGGCGGCCGGCGAGCAAGGGCGAAGGAGGTCGTTGAACCGCGAGCGCGCGCGCCGGCAATCAGCTGGGCGCGCGCATACATCCATTATCCGCGGTCGACGGCCGCCGCCGCCGCCGCCGCCAGCGCCGCGGGTGTACACCTCGCGCGCTCGGTCTGCTCACCGCGGGCAGCGCGCGCGATCGCAGAGGCGAGCGACGATCGATCGGCAATCGGACGGCGTGCGTCCCGACGGTCCCCTCTGCAGGGCCCCGGTGCAGAATCGAGCTGCGTCGCCGAGGCGAGTCGAAGCGTGGCCTCCACGCACCTGCAAACGGAGCCGCGAGCTGGTCCTCTCGCCCGATCGGTCGTCAAGGAATTGCTTTGAGGTGACGCAATAACGGAGGCGGGCATGATTTTCGAGGGGGAGTACGTCGCGCCCGACACCCCGATCGAAGGTACGATCACGATGGTCGACGCGCAAAACAATTCGCGAGTTTTTTGCCGAAGGGCGAGGCGAAAGTGGCCGTCGTAAAGTGATCTGGAAAATGCAGCTGCACGGAGCGTGATGCAACCGATTTTCTACTGTTTGCCCGCCGCTAACGGAGCTACGTAGGAGTATTTGTAACGCGTTATATGAATCGCTCGCGTTAGGTAATCTCCGTGTCCTGGGAGGAGAATTGTGATTACTGGAAGAAAACAACCCGTGCACAACGAATCAGGAAGCTTCGACGCTGTACGAGCGCGCGCGCTTATTGCAGGCGACGACAGTGACGAGAGCCGTCACTCGATTGGCGCGCGCACAGGACTCGCCTAGCCAAGCAGGCCCACTTTCGATTCAGTGTCGTCGAGCGTATCTCGACTCGCTGTTGCGGCGCCATTTTTCTCCTCTCGTACGACTGCACGTTTCGCCGAAAGGGTGAAAGCGCGCGACTGCGATCGCGAGCTGCGGCGTGCATAGTGCTACGTGCACCTTTTACTCGGGCCGCCGTACTGCCAATGACGAGGTCGATAGAGACGCTTCTGGCGCGTCCGTTTCAGCGCCTTCGGACGAATCGCGCACGCTGCGGCGCAAAAATTGCAGCATTACTCGTTCGTAATCGCCGGACCTCCCCGAGCATTGGCTAACGGATCGGTCACGCTGTTCGAAACTTGCACGATGAATACATTATTTCCGCTAAAGCGATTATGCGAGAACACAGACGAGAGTGGTTACAGTTTCACGCAACAAGCTGTCGAGAGTAAAATCAAGCGAATTGTTTTGCGACGAAAACACGTAACGATATTCAATTTCATCGCCATCGCTGATCTCATTTTATCCTTCAAATCCTCAGTCTCACTTTTTTACAGATTACCATGGCTTTACACTTATTGTTATTTTACATCTAAATTTTTAATTCAAAGTAGCTCCGGCACGAAATTCTTCTTATGTTTTATCACGTAAATGTAAAAATGTTTAATACTTTATTATTTGTTACTTTGACATTTGAAATTCTTTTAGAAAGCTCACTAGGACGTGCAATATGTTCTGTAAAAGATTCCAAAAACAATTGAATCGGAAACTAATCTGGCAAATCGGCAAAGATCGAGCAAAAGCTAATCACAAGCGGCGATTTCGAAAAACAATATCCATTAACGTTTAAAGGACTGCGTGCCTCTTCGGGTCGATCAGGCGGCTATAAACCGCCGGGGCACAAATCCATGCCTCTTTTTTAAGTCATATTTACGCGCGAGCGCGCGACGATGTGCGCGGATGAAATTTGCCCGTCACGGTGCCCCTGTAAAGGCGAGAAAGTCAGAGACAAGCGGACTTGTCTTGCGAGCGCGAGCGCGTCGAAAGATGATACGTGTGCGTGTTTGCGCGTGCCGCGGGTATGTGCTAATAAAGAATGACGCGGCGGTAATTTACGGAGTCACCGGCCGAGAAAGATGCGCGCTCGTTCGAAAAATTGATCGATTCGGACGGAAAGTATAATTGAAATGCACTCTGATTAGCGACGAGACGGAGTGCGAGAGCGGGCAACGATCGGCGCTAATTCTTGCCTTCCGCGCGACATAAATAGCTTTTCCAATCACTCTAAATTATCGGTCTCTCGCGGCAATCAAAGTTGGCTCGTACGCGTGGCCGAGCGCTCAACCAGTCGAGCAAACTCACGTGCCCGAGTTGTAAAATCGCTCGCAGACTTGCCGCGCGTAATCGAGGAGATGGTCCAGCTGCAGATTGGCCGTCTCGCGTACTAGCAATGCGACTGGAGATAACTAAGTCGCCTGGCGCTCGGACCGATCGACGAGTTGGATGGCGATCGATGTTTCCGTGTGAACAAGCGACAGATTGGAGTGAAGCGCGCGTAACGCACGTTAGCGCAAAAAACCGAAGTAAAAGAGCCGGTAAATTGAGCGGCCGGCGGCGTCCCGTTATTCGCGCGCGTCGCGCGCGCGACCTCCCGCAGCTGATCTCTCGCTATGGCGGCGGGCCGATTCGAGCTGCACCGCGCGGCGCGCGTAGCCCGTTAGCTTATGTGCTCGCGCGAGGAGGTGGAAAAAAGCGCGTCATTTAGGGCCATTGTGCGCCGATCGTGCGAACGAATATCTATCACCTTGTAGCCATGACCCTGCAGCAGTCAATTTCACGCCCCGGACTTCGTTTCTTTCTCTCCCGTTCGAATTCCGATCCCGCCAGCCCGCTCTCTCCGCCAAATTGGCGGACGTGCGCGGCTACGGGGCATTCACTGCCAGTAAGTGAATTACTACGCTCGCCCGTGCCTTTTCGTACGCAATTACGCATTCGTGCATTGGAAGTCGATTCCCTTTTATCGATTGCGGTATCGAGAAGCCGTCATCCAAGACGAGGTATTCGTCACAGCGGCGTCCGCCGAAATTTGCTTTTCTTATGCGACTCGTCGATCTAATCTCTTCCACGCGAACGTCGCAATTTCATCTTTGTTTCGCGTTAATTGCAGTTACGTGGCTGGCCAAGAAAGTCAGCTCGACGGCCCGCGGTTTTACGGCAGCCGTTAGTTTACTTGCGAAATGGCCGGCCAGTCGCGAAAAACCATATACAACAATCTTGTTATAGAGGTCGCGCTCCCCGCGAAAACGAACCGCACGAAGAGGAAAGCGCGAACGGGGCGACGAGCTGCGCGCGGGCGCTTTACCGCTCGTCGTGGCGGTAATAAGCCGCGAGAGAGATAGGCTGTTTATCGTAACGGTGAGGGCCCGATGCTCGTGGTTGCGCGCCGATGCGTGCCAGTCGGCCAGAAATCTCGCGCTCGCGCGAAGCCGAGGAAGCGGCTTTCGATCCGAACGGCCGATTTCGATTCCAGCGTCGTCGCGATACGGCGCGATACAGAAGCGCCGCGGCAAGCTGTGCCCGTACGCGCTCGGAAGAGAAACGCTATCGCGGCGGTTCATCGAGAAAAACAATCGAAGACCGAAGCGCGCCCGGGGGAAGGGAGAAGCGGGTCACGCGCCGAGGATGCCGCCTCCTTCTGCCTCCTACCGCCTTGCATCTCGGTGCGCGCGACGCATTCCAGGCCGACCGCCGCGAGACGAGCGGCGCGCGCCGCCCGGCCTGCTTTCGACCTTCCGCCGGCCGGCGCCGCTTCCTCCGCTTCCCTCCGCGAGCGTCGATCGACGGTGGAGCGCGGCGCGTGCCGGAAGCGCGCGAGAATCCGCGAAGCGATAGCTCCTCCGACAATGGCCCCCGGTAATTAGCGGGCCGACTAGCGGGCCGACTAGCGGGGCCACGAAGGAGAAACGGCAGCATCCGTCGAGCGTACGTACGAGAGCGCGGCTCGCTTGGCCCGCTGCTATCCTCGTAAATCAAGCCTTATCTCTCTGGTTCTCTGCTGGCTGTCGAATGGGCCGGCCGGCCGGCCGCCTCCGCGCAAACGAATTCGCTCGTGACCGAGAGCTGGAAAGGCGCAGAGCGAGAATCGGTGGCAAGCCACGTCGCGTAGGAGTGAAAGTCGAATTCCCGCGCGTGCGCGCGTTTCGCTGCTCGCCGCACGCGCGTTCTTCGACGACGACGTTCTTCCCCTGCGGCAAAGGGCTTTTCTCGATGGGCTGCTGCCGACGCGCGCGACACGCGCCGGACGCTCGTCGACACTGCCGCGCTTGTCCGCGGGCACATTCCGGCCGGCGAGCGCGACGAATGTTTCACGAGCGGCGACGGCCGAGTCCGGTCGAGCAGGTACTCTGGCGCGCGCGACTTTCGCGTCCCTTCGGCGCGGCGCGCCTTTCGCCGGAGCGCGCGATCCGTCCGTGAGTCATCGGGAAGGCTGGCGAGCGACCGCCCCGGCATCCCGTCGGCGCGCTCGCGGGTTAACGATCCGTGCTACTGGTAATTGCCGCAAAACAGGAGGAAATGCCAGAGACGACGCCGCCGCCTTGCCGCGTCTTTTTCCTGCAGCGTCGATCTCTCGCTTAGCGACCCGTAATGGCTTATTAGCCGGCGCGCTTTTTGCCGCGCGCGGACGAGCTCTCCTTCTTCGCCGACGAATGCAATGAGAACGGAGATTGGCGTTCGGCGAAACTATCGGCAAACTTCTCCTATCGGCTGTCGGCATTTCCGACGCGCCGTAATCGACGCTCGACGGGAGACTCGAGGGAGCACAGTCGCGTCGGGAGCCGCCGAGCGTCCCGTGACTATCCGCGTGACGAACCACAGGGACTCGCTCGCTCGTGGTCGTGCTTCTGAAATCCGCCACCCAGGGTTCGTGCCGTTCAAATCGTTCGTTCGCGGGTAGAGGTGCGTCCGCGAAAGCTTAGAATCGGGCACCAACGATGACATCGCCGTTCGGTAAGAGGGTCGCCAAAGAAAAACAGAGGCACTCACCTGCTTCTTGGAGGGCTTCTTTTCCATGATGCGGTAAGATGGCGAGTAGCCGGATGCTGCGATGACGGCGCCCGCCTTACGAGATACGCATTGCCCCATATAGATCTGACGTTCTCACCCGAGCACAACCTGCCGATCACACATCAGATTGCATTGTTACACGCGCGGCACAGTACGTCGCTAGAACCGCTGATGCGCTTGTCCACGAGCTGCGTCTGCTGAGAAAACCGCGGGCGCATTGCCCATTGTTCTTCAAGCTTGTACGGGCAGTTCGTTCTCGCCCTCGAGAACGAACTGCAAGAGCAGCGTATCGCGAAAACGAACTGTATCGTCGCTGCGGTTTTCTCAGCGCGGCTGCGCCAGCCTTGCGAATCGCGTTATTCTGCAATGGAGACGTCGATCAAGAACCTTTTCTTCCGACCATAAGCAGCCAAACGACAACTACAATCAAGCGGGACAGCCGCAAGGTGAAAGCATGCGAGTCCGATCACCCTTGCGTTAGGGTTAGGTTGTGTGCGCGTGTACCGAGAGTGACAGGGGAGGAGCTGCGAGAACCACAGCGACAGGTTGTGTGCACGAGCGGTTATCAAGCTGAAAATTGAATTAGTAGTTGTGCTGTTGTTTCTCATGGCGCGGTTGTGCGGTCACGGCTCGGCTATAGAAAGCTTGGCCTTGCTCCCCCGCCAGCCGGGCTTTCGCCTGCGTCTTCGACGGAGCGGATCCGCTGCAATTAAAAGCCTGTCCTCAGATTTGTCGTCGTAAATATATCGTTGCCTTAATGGGGCTCCGGCGTACGAGCCGCGCGCTCTCACGACGATGCGATTGATCGGCAACGATTTTAAAAGCGACGAAGCGCGTCGCGCGCAAAAACAAGGCACCGATTGTATGCAAATGCACCTGGGCGCTTTTCCAAAGCAATCGGCTCATCGGTGCACCGCGAAACGTCAAAAAGAAAGAGCTAACGACTCCCACGATGAATCTCCGCGAGGTGGGGCAGATTAGAGTCGTCTGCAACGAAAATGGGAGCCACGGCAGCGCAAAAGTCGGCGCTGCGCCGGCAGGCGTACTCTCGAAGAAGATCCTTCTGTGGCGCACGATGCGCCGCGGCCGACGAAATCTCTGACGTTCGTCCGGTGAGCATCGCGACGACGGATGCGCATTGTGCAGCAGCAGTTTAGCGAATACGGCATTCCGACGGCCTCGCGCCTATCCGATGCAGGCGGGCTCGCTCGCCTTGATTATGCCTATCGGAGGACCCGGCTGAGCTCGTACACGCGCGGAACGCGGCGCTCTTTTCGCGAAGCTCGTAACGTAGAACGAGCGTGATCAGTCAAACCGGAGGCAGCACGATAGGCGTCAGATGGAAAACGAGCGATAGCTGCGCTGAATGCCACGTACGCCTCGCTGCCGCGCTCGCTCGCTGATTTATTTTCCAAGCGATTGTTTGCTCTTGCCTCGACGGCAATTGCCGACTTTCGCGCGTTCGGTCGAAGAGAAAATAAGTCGCCTACTCGCGCCGGTGCCGTTTTTCCGCTAACTTCCGCTCCGAAAGATACATCGAAGCAGACCGGACGTTATCGGGGCTCGTCCATCTAAATTTCACGGGCCGCGAGTACTACGGAGCACTCCGCCAGCAGAGCAGACGCCGCGCGTTGCCACCGGGGCAAGGTGCAATTTTTCTTACGCAACGGAACACACGCAACAGGCAAAATACACAGAGCGGTGCTCGCGGTTCCGCAGGCTTTTCATTCTCACTACTCTCTCGAAAGCTAACCACTTGTCCCCCCGCTGCCTCGCGAAGCCGAAGCCGACGCTACAACTCGGTACACTGCTGGTTTCGCGAGTTTTTGGCTCGAATTCGTTACGCCTATCTAGGACTTTCATTGTCGCTACAAAGTGCTGATGTTTCGAATTAACGATGTTCGACATGGCTCGTTCGCACGTGACACTCGCACGAGTTCCAACACATAGGTTCGACAAATCAAGCGCAATCAATCCAGTTAACGGGTTTAATATTTTTTTATTTTTGAGTACACCGTAGGTGCAAAACGAAAAATTATATTTCAATAATTTTCTAGAAAATGTGAGCATATTATTAGCATCGAGTGTTTATTTTATCCCTTCGAAGCTTTCATAACGTTCGATTGGCCCGTAGAAAAATCAGATACCGTTTATTATGCATGCTGCATACGTAAAAAGTGAATAAATATGGATTTTATAAAGATTTATGAGTCAAGGACATACTCCGAACAACTGCACATTATGGGCCGTATAAATTGAATCACCTATTGACGAAGTAACGCGACGTTTGCCTTTGAAAGTTGATTCTAAAATGTTCTGCTTTCAAATCAAAAGTAACGCGCAATCGCATTGAATCGAGCAAAGAGCAATGATCGCCGACGACGGTGTTGCAACGAGCCCGAGCGCCGAACGATAGAAAAGGCACGGACGAAAATCGATTGTTTACGATTGCGACGCGTGACGCTGTATGCGCGTGTCGGCCAACGAATCAATCGACTGGGGGACGCGCGAAAATTAAACGACGGACGATCGTCGCGAGCTTTTCGCGCGCAACACCGGAAGCTTTCCCGTTGCGTTGTTGGTCACGCGTCGGTTCTCCCTCGGCACAGCGGACAAAGGTGATCCGAGACTGCGGCGCGTGCGTGCATCCGTCGGCGAGCACTGGGCCGGTCCCTTGGCAAAAGGACATCCTCCCGAGTGCGCGGCGACGCCGACAAGCAGAGCAGAGCCGAGCGCGCTCGTGAAAAGTCAAGTCGAGCGCCGCCGAGTCGCTCGCCTCAAGGACTTTCTCACTGCGAGGTGCGCGCTCGCTCGCGAGGCATTTGACTTTCATGCCAGCGCCACACGGCCGACACGTATTAGCGCGCGCGTTACGGAGGCAGGCTCCGTGCGCGTCGAGTCGCGTATCGAGTGACGTGCCGTGCACCGCGCTCTCCTCTCTCGTGCTCGCGAGAGAGCGCGCGCACAAAAGCTACGATAATACGCAGCGCGCCTACGAGGGGAAACCTCGAGATGGAAGCACGCCGCGCCGCTACGGTCGTCTCGCTTGGCGCTCGGCGCGCTCTTGCCCCAATCCCGCGGCGACGGACTTGCGTCGCGCCTTCTCCGCGCGGTCGGTCGGCATTAATTGTCCGTGTCCGATCGGTTGCGTGCCGGCCGAAAAAGGAGTCGCGCGCGCGCGCCAATGCCGACAAGACGCGCGACGCTGAATCCTAAGCATTGGCACGAGAATCGAGCGGCGCGCAAGCTTATCATCGCGAGCGAACAACGTACGACGAGCACAAGGGAACCATTGAATTGGGAAGGCACGAACGCAGCGAAGGAAAACCCGATCGACGTTCCATTTTCGCGCGATGCAATCTTTCGCGGTCGCGCCAGTCGGCAATTTGCGAAAGATTGGACTGTTTTCCCCAACGCAGTGCGGTTACACTGCAGCTGGAGAGCGCGCACAACCAAACGAATTTTCGTTTGGCTATGCGCGCGCAATTCAAGTCGTTCGCCAGCGCCCGCGCCGCGGGTAAAAATCAGCCGAGGGCCGCTATCAGTATAATGGATGAGCAGTCTCGCTGCCTTTGCACGAGCTCTATAGGTAATTTTAGGAAATTGCGAATATAACTTTCTCCTCGTGCGCGCACGGGGGAATATGGAGGCTAATTATACATACACGCGGGCTTATTCCGTTTGACTTATAATTGGCGAGCCTCTTTCATCCTCGTTAGCTCACGATTCGTCGCTTCGAAGCACGCTCACGAGAGCTCAGTGAAACCATCACCTTTCCCCATTCACGAGAACACATTACGTGGCGTATCAGATACAAAAGCGAAGAGAACAGAATCGCAGAGAGGAGGCCAGCACCAGGAGAGAAAGAGGAGCGCGATCGATCATCCGGCAGCCGTGTACGTGAGCACGAGAGAGATCGGCACCGGAGAAGAGCTGCAACAACAATAGCCAGGTGGAAAGCGACTCGCGCGTCTGCGATGCCGAAAGCGGTTTTCCGCTCGCGACCCATTTCCCAACCACCGCCTACTCACAAAAACCAAAATCCGCGCCGCTGCCTCTTCGTCTTCCTGCTGCTGCCGTTGCTGCTGCTGTCGTCGCCGCCGCTGCTGGCGATGCCGACGACGCTGCCTCCGCCGCCGCCGCCGCCGACGGTTGTGGGCCGTTGACGCTCGGCTCCCTTGCAAACTGCAAACATCCGTACAAATCGTAGCCTTTTCCGCTCGGCTGGGCTCTCTCGCGAGCGAGATGAGTTCCGAAAATGCGCTGCTGCTGTTACGGGTTTTTGCGACGTCGGCAGCTTTCAAGGCTGCGCGTAATCAGTGGTCGGTCGACAAGCAGTGGGGAAAAAAATCAAAAGGATCGAGGCCCTCGCTCGCTGCTCTGGACAGTTTGCTCAGAGAACTCTCTGTTTTCTCGCCAGAAAGAAACCATTTCGAGATGGTCTTGCGGACCTCACTTTTCAAAATTGTCATTGTCGCAAGAAGAGCCATTTGACCTTCCTTCCAAGCCGACCGCCGCCTCGTACTTGCCTTTTTCATTTGCATGGAAATGGAAGCGCCTGGGCGCTTTATTCGTTGTTTTGTGTAAAAGTAACGGTCACACAGGCGGTCTCGCAAACGAAATTGTTCGCGCTCGAAGAATGAAAATGACTCGCTCGGTACTCTACTGGCCATCCATCAAGCGCGCTCGTAGCTGACAACGTAAAGACTGCGCGGATCGTAAGCCAGTCGCGGCCACGGTCGGAATCGAGAACAAAGAGGATAGGCATGGGCGGCGAATGCGCGTAGGAGAGTCAAGTGGCCATTTGCTTCGGGCGCGCATGCAGAGAGCGCGGAGCGGTCCACGCAGCGACACGACGTGTCGCTGCTGTCAGAGCGCGAAGATGCCGTGTGGCCGCGATCAATATGCTCACTCCACTGGCTTACATATTTTCCCGCCGATGCTGCTAATGCTTGTCGTCGAAATCGCGACATCTACAGTGTCGTGGATGTGTTGGCCTCACTGGGCACGAGACAGGATTTTTGAAAATGAGCGAAGTCGAGCTTTTCGAATTCCTGCACCCTCTCGCCAATGGCTTATGGAAACAAAAGCCTGTTTTTTTCTTTCGCTTCTTTTAGCTTTTCCTTGTTATTAGACTTTAACAATTACGCGGTCGATGGCACATCTGCGCGAATAATGTTTCGTCACGGAATCGACAAGAAATCTTTGATAAGCTTTAGCAAGACAATGTTACCTTCAAACGTGCATGCAAAGTCATTGCAACAATGAATGTACTTGATAATCAAAATTCAACTTCAGGACAGCACAATGAAGAAACAAATGAGAAAATTTTCATGCCGCTCGCGAACATTCGCGATTCAGCTGAGAAAATTTTTTCCGACAGCCCTGTTACTTGTCACTTCTATATATGAAAATACACGACACCAACAAGTATACTTTTGTCGTTAAGATTATATGTTTCAAGAGAAAACAAGATGATATAGAACACGAATGCTCTAGGAAAACATTGGCTTCGGTATGCCAATCGATTCACGTGGTATATACCCACCCTTATCGCTACCAATCAATAACTACACGGTCAACATTTCTTCCGGCATTCATCCATTTCATTCTCGCTGTTACGAATCAGCTGTTCTCGTGGCTACTTGGGCCTTCGAACAGTTGTCATACATATAAAAGAGACCTCACTCATGCTTGTCAGTGGTAAGACGATCAAACAAATCAAAATCAAGCAGTCATTAAGTAACGTTATAGAGTCGCAATCACATTTGCGAGAAAGAGACAGAAATCCTGCCGAAAAGGAGGTTCGGTCACTATGTGGTCTGCGTATCACTCGTTCTCTCTCTCTCTCTCTCTCTCTCTCGCTCTCTTTCTCGCACACTTACTCAGACGCACTTAGCATTCCTCTTGGCTACTCGCATTCCGCTTAACGTACCTTTTTCTATACAGCCAAGACCGTCGTCGAGCATGCAACCCCGGGGACTCATGGTCGCACTGCACTAGCGGCGGCCTTTCAACATGACACACTTTATATATTCGTTTAATTTCATTCACGTTTATTTCAAACAAATTCACACTTGATTCCTGCACGACAAACTACAAGTCACATTCGCAAAACACTGGAAACGCGCTTTGTATACACTTGGTTACGGACGACTACAAGCTGCACCGAGGGCAGTTGACGCGAGCGCACGCACGGCCAAACAGTTGAGCCGCACCACCTGTCATTTGAATATATATTTCACCAACCACTAGGGAGCATCGAGTATACAAGAGAGAAAGAGAGAGACGTTCCACCGACGCGAATATGGAGGGAGACTGATCTCCCACCCACCTTCTATCCTCGACGTGCGTGAATGTAGAGCGAGTGGGAGCCGAAAGACGCTCACTTCAGGAGGCATTTTTTCCCTTGATGGTTTGTTTTTTACACCGCAACAATTCCAAATTGATAATGATTCGAAGCTGTTTTTCGATAAATTTCAAAATAATTTCTTCACAAACATATCTTTGTAAACTACAGTTTTACTTTTTCACGTCACAACTTATTACAAGTTCTTTGCTCAAATCAAACTGCAAGTTTCGTAAGCTACTGCCATCTATACGTCGTCGTTTGAATTTGCAAGTGTTTGGCGCTCTGTATTTTTCAGGTGATACAATCACCTGACTACACAATAACAAAAATTTCGACTTGGTACTTTATTTGACCAACACAAGCGATGAAACTCTCGGTGTTTGCAAAATTTTTATATTTTTTAGGCGTACAACCATTTTACTTTTAATTTAAAGGTAAGTGATTACAATGGAATACAATTTTTATGGTTATACTTTTTAGCTAATTTATTTTTGTTTTTAAAATTTTCTAGACCTTACTGATAGAATTTGTTAAACATGTCTGAATTAAAATTATCATTGGAAGAAGAGTTACCATCACCAGATCTATTTTCTGAACCAGAAGTCGGAACAAATGCATCCATTGCAGGAACTTCAGAAGATTGTATGACTAATTTTAATATCTTCATACAAGCTTTTTTGTTATTTTGTTTATAATAAATTGATTATTTATTTTGATTAGTTACTAATAAAAGATGGTTATGTCAATGTTTTTTTCAGCAACCTCTGTATCAACTGGGTGCTTTGAACCAGATTTCACTAACGATGATCCAGAATGGAAAGGTGTTAGCATAGAAGAAATTTACAGATACCATGGACCATATGATTGGCACCATCTTCCTCCAATTCATCCATCACCTTCTCATACAGTTCTTTTTGATGTAGATATTTACTACTTAATCAATAGTTCCCATCAAATACACGTATGGCTAACACTGAAAAATTTTACAATTTTGTTAGATACCACTTCCCAATCGAGGACCACCTAAGCCTTTTGTTACTCAACCAGCTGATAAGTGGAACCAAAATTTTGTACGAATGCCACATTCAGTTCATAGTCTTTATCCATTGGAACCAGTAAGTAACAACTGTACCAAATTAAAAATGATCAATGTTGGATGAAAATTGTATTGGTCTTCATTTTCCATAGGAAAAAGAAACTTCAAATGGATTCAGACGTCGATGGGAAGTTATTCAAGAAGCTTTATTACAAAGTTTTTTATCTAGCCAACAACTGGAAGCAGCTATTTTATCGTACAACCATAAGTATGCTGATCGATGGGACTTTACAGCTCTTCATAATTTCTTTAATAAAGTGAATATTTTTATTTAGCTTATGTAATAACTGAAATATTTAACCCTTTCTTAAAATATAATTTTTGTTATTTTAGTATATTGATGAGGAGGAAATGAGTATGTGCTTGGGTACATTAGTTCCAAGAATAGTTCAACTTGCTCTTCAGCTTCCTGATTTAATTACTGCTCCTCTTCCGTTATTGAAACGGCATACGAACAAATCAATTAGTTTAAGTCAACTACAAGTAGCTAGTTTACTTGCCAATGCATTTTTTTGTACATTTCCACGTCGTAATTCAACAAATCCACAGTCTGAATATGGATCGTACCCTTACATCAATTTTAACAAGTACTTGCTACTTATTTCAATACTCTTAAAATTTGTGAGACTACCGAATACTAACAAATGTATTATTTCAGATTATTTTCTTCGTTTCGAGAAGATAAGAAAACTAGGCATCAGTCGGTAATGGAAAAATTGAAATGTTTGTTTCATTATTTTCGTAGAGTAACTTCAAAAGGTAGGTAAAAGTAAAAATTATCTTCAATTATTTTGTTATCTAAAATAACATTATTTCATGATATAGCACCTGAAGGTACGATAACGATACAGAGACGGTATGTACCTAAAAAGAATTGTCCACGGTGGGATAAGCAGCAAGTAAAGTTATCATCGCTGCACATTACGAGCAAAGGCACTATCGAATCGCAAGGAGCTGGTCTTCTACAAGTTGATTTTGCTAATAAGTAAGAAGTAATTAAAAGCACGAAATTTAGTAAGCATTATAATACTCAATATTCTGTTCAACAGGTATGTAGGCGGTGGAGTATTGAATTACGGATGCGTTCAAGAGGAAATTCGATTTGTTATCTGTCCAGAATTAATGGTTACGATGTTAGTGACTGAAGCTTTAGACGATACCGAAGCACTCATTATAAATGGTGTAGAGAGATATAGTCGGTATGAAGGATATAGTAACAGCTTTAAGTGGGTAGGAGATTTTATCGATGAAACGCCACGAGATGGTAGCGGCAGGATGAAAACCTGTATTGTGGCGATAGACGCGTTGTATTTCAAACAACCAAGTATACAGTTTAACATGGGTAACGTAATACGTGAGCTAAACAAGGTAATGCTTAATAGCTTTAATTTTTGTCAAGATATCTTTCAACGTAAAATAACGATTTACTGCTAATTTGAAGGCGTACGTGGGATTCACATCGGAAGTAGCATCGAATGATTTGCCGGCTGTGGCGACTGGCAATTGGGGTTGTGGTGCATTCCGTGGAAATCCTCAATTAAAGGTTTTACTCCAATTGATGGCTGCAGCTGTGGCTGGTCGATCAATGGTATATTTTACGTTTGGGGACTCTAATTTAAAAGATAGCGTCGCGGAAATGTATTGGCACCTCGTTAAACAGGACGTTGATATAGGTACTTCTACAAATGCCTTTGAAAAAAATTAATTATAAATAAACTGTATAAATAATGAATATTGCATTCTTTAGGTCGATTGTTTGTGATGATTTCGGAGTATCAAGAAACAGCACCAGAAAAACGATCGGATTTTTACCGTTTTTTATATAACCGCAGCAAGATTAAACCTATGACGCATTACTTTAGCAAAAGTCCCATGAAAAAGTCGGATAGCAACGATGAAAGTAGTCAAACTTCTCAAGAGAAACAACGATTTAACTTTGATTTTAAGAAGCATGCTTCTTTGGCAAAACTCAAAGAAGATCAACTCGAACATAAAATCGAAAAATGGCTGGAAGAAGTTGAAGACAATTCTGCAAATGTAGTTGAGTTGGACGAATTTGAAGTACAGAGTACAGGTAAAGAAGACGTTAGAATGCAAGACACATATAAAGAAATTCGACAAAATGATGATGATAATAAAATTGAGCCCACTAGCAAAGGAAATTTAATAAAGAAGAAGAAACAAACTTTTGCAGAAATTTTCGGAGAAGAAGAAATGGAAACTTCGCCTAAAAAAAAGATGTCTGGACTTGATGCTTTTGACCAACTGTTGCTGGAAGCATCTCAGAATGAAAAAACAAAAAATTTACCGTCGGCTGATGTTTCAATGGAAGTAGACGTGAAAATTGAAAAGAAGGAAGAATTAATTTCAAAGCGCGAATCAATAAAAACGTCAGAGAATTGGCCAAAACCTACGCCGAAAAAAGTATCTCAGACGAAAATATCAGACTTTTTTAAAAAGAAAGATCCCTGATGGGCACAGCTTTTTTCGATTAATCTTTTAAAAATATTGTAAAAAGTACTTAAGGAAATTGTATATATTTTGAAAAAATGGAATAAATAAAAAGGTTTGTTTTCACAAACAAAATATGTCGTCACAATGGATTTAGCTGCGCAATTGATGAATACGTGCTCTCGCGTCGATTACAGAAAAATAACAATTAGCGACATCAAAGCCCGGTATTATCTGAAAGTCAGCAAAGAAAAATTAACGCCGTGTCATCAAAAAGTTCATCAACAGTCGATCTCGCTTAAAATCACATACAAAGTAGACGCCTTCAGTCTGCTCGTTCAAATCGCTAATTGTAGCGTCAAAAGGAAAGCCCTCGACCTTTTCAAATTAAATCAAATAAAACTCTGGTCAAAGCCTATTGCCCGTTTTCGGTTTATTCGTGCGCGCGCCTGTGTATGCATGCTCTTTTTCAATGCGCAAGGCAACCAACGATCAAAAGGCAAAACAGCTTAAATCTTTCGGCAAGCTTTGACGAGAAAAATCATGATAATTATGGCAGCAGTAAAAACGCTGTTTTGCGCAGATCACGCGATACCGAAAATTGCCCGACTGAATTGTTTTACTTCCAGAGAGCAGACAACTCTCGATTCGAAGAAAGCTTTCCAAGTCAAATCGAATAACGAAGCGTTTGAAGCCACCTATCCGCCTTCAACTTGACCGCGTACCATGAACTTTTCGTCAACGGAAATAAAGATGCACGCAGCGCCGATCAAACGCCCCAACATCTTACTAGAGTCATTAGATTGGCGTGCAAGAAGAAGACGTACAGATATATGGGGACAAAGGGCAGCTGCGAGTAAAAATGCATCTGCTGTATGCGTCTTTCCTCATCTCTCTCTTTGTCCGTCGACTTTTCGATCGCATTGCCTTTATATACGTCGGTCGAGAAAGTCTTTCTCTCGCGATGTAAACTCAAGTTTATGATCGACTGGAACCGCAATTGGAGCAATAGATCGCGTACGCCTATGTGCAGCGGATGAACCACACTGGGCTATAATTGACGTGTATTAACATAACGCAAGTAGGCCACGCAAGTGCATTTGAAACGCGGCGAAGTAACCGAGATGGCATCCTGTATACGTTCAGTCGCGCAACCGACCTTGCATCCTCTTCGCCGCGTCCTTTTTTCGCTCGTCGCAATCCTCTCGTTTTCTCTTTTGCTTTGCTCGCGCGCGAGTTTCAATGCCTGTCTCTGTGTGAGTGCGCGCGTATGTGTGTGTGTGTGTGTGTGTGTGTGCGCGCAACAGAGAGAGAGAGAGAGAGAATGACGGAACGACGCAGCGCACCTATGGGGATTCTCGGTCCGTGGCATACGCCGCCTTTCAGCCGATGGAAGAGAGCGAGAGAGCGATATACGTGAAAAACGCTGCCAGTGACGGGCCTCGCTCGGCCTGCGCCCTGCGCCGCACTTTTTCAAAGCCACCGGCGTTTCTGCGCAGCTGGACGAATCGCGATCGGCCGGGCGATCAGTTGTGTCGAGGGCCGATAACGGCTGACACAGGGGACCGAAGATACGCCAGCGCGATTGCGCGTCGCTCGATCGAACGCGTTGACCGTGTATGTACGCCGAGTCACGGATAAACATTACTACGCGCGATAAGAGCGCGCGCCGCCGCGTTGTTTGACTCTAGATAATTTGCTAATTTTCTTCGACGGCAGGCACTGCACGATCTCACGGCAACGCTCGGAACGTTTCCAGCCGCGGGCCAATGGTGGGGCCTTTTTACGCGACTGGTGGTCCGCGCGATCAATTGCGAACGCGCATCGTTAGATAAGGCACTCACGTGTGCGGTCAGAAATGAACGAGTTCTTGATAGGAACGACACTGCTTCTGATCAGATTGCACGTCCGAGGCCGCTTGCCCGAATCCGTTCGACTCGGATATCAAGTGGCTACGGTTCATCCCGAGTGAACCCACGATATAATAAGACGCTTTGCCCGCAGAAGAACGCAAGAGGCGTTCTTCTGCTTCCTGCTCCGAAATTTCACGTGGCTGCGCTAAAATACCTGAGCAAGCAATCGAGCTTTACTCGGCCAAAGACTCGGCTCCTTTCGAAAAGCAGAAACCTTGACTTGCTCGAAAATAATTATTTGCCTTGCTCATTGAACTTCCAATGACGTTTACCGAGAACTCAATACGCGCTCTTAGCTCTCGATTTTGTTTTCTCCTTTTGCTTGTGACTAAAATCCAGCCACGCAAGTTTTACGAAAATGCGGACTGAGCAAAAATGCCAAAGACAAGATAAAGATCAGTGGAGTTTAGGGTATCCGTCGTGTGTATCCGAGGCTGTTGCGGCAGCGAGTATAGGCAGAGCCAGTTCTTTGACTCGCGGGCTCTGCTCTCTCAGTGTACATACGATGCGGCGGCACAGCGGCGGCGCTGCTGGCCTTCCACCGCTCCTCACTGGTTCTCGCTCTTTCTCGCTCGCTTCGCGCTTACCGCGCTTGCCGCGCTTGCCGCGCTCGAGTCAGTCAACCCGGTGACGGCAGTCGTGTGCGACCACGTCGCTCTGTCTCTTCCGACGCATCCAGCAGGCGAGACCCGGCGTGCAGTGACTGTTTTTTTCCGTTGATCGCGAGTGAAATTCAGTGCCAAGTTGAGAACGCGGCGCGAGGCTGTCGAGCCGTCGAACAGCAAGAGAACAAAGAAGGTGTCGAGAATCTGGCGTTCGCGTTGCGTCGGCCAGAAAACCGGTAAGCGGCGGCGCGAAGATGTGAGGGGGAGCGCAGAGATTGCCGCCTCGCAAGAAAAAACGACGACAGCAGCACCGATTGGTTATCTGCGAAGGTGACGAGCAACAAAGGGGCTACGGAGCGGACACAGCCGAAACCGGTCGTCCCTGACCTTATTGCCAGAGCGCAGCCAAGGGAAAGCACTCGTTCCCACGTGTACGCGAGCGACCGCGCCAGTCCAATTAGCGTCCAGCTGCGTTCTCGCTAAGCCCGGCTCGTCGCGAGTGCTCGACCAGCCGCGGCGGCGGCGGCGGCGGCGGATCGTTCTCGCATGGCGCGGATCGCCGCTGCAAGCACGCCGAGGCAATGATCTTGCCGTGTCCGACGACCGAGGCCGGCAGCGCGTAGTGCGCATCGACGACGTCGCGGCATTCGCCGAAAAGCAGGGAGCACAAAGGCCTCGAGCGAGCGAGCGACTGAGCGAGACGAGAAGAGGAAGGATGGAGGACGAGCTGCGCTGCCCGTCCTGCAAGAAGTTCTTCAGCGAGCCGGTGCTGCTGCCGTGCTGGCACGCGCTCTGCCTGCAGTGCGCGGTTGGCATGCAGGCGCCGCCGGACTCGCCGCCGGAGTCCACGACGGACTCGACCAACAACAGCAGCACCGGCGGCCCGGGCTCCGACCAGGAGGCCGACAAGCTGTCCATCCTGTCGGAGACCGACTCCGGCGTGGTCTGCTCCAGCTCGACAGCGTCCACGGGCTCGCGGCCCGGCAGTTACGTCGGCACCCCGGGCAACGGCGGCTGCTTCCCCCCGAGCGGGGGCACGCTCTGCCTCTCGTGCCCGCTCTGCCAGAAGACCGTCTTCTTCGACGACGGCGGCGCGCACAACCTGCCCAAATATCGGGCGATGCAGCGAATCGTCGACAAGTACCTGCACGCGAAGAATCTCAAGCTCATGTGCCAGATGTGCGAAAAGGAGCCGCGCGAGGCCACGGTCGCCTGCGAGCAGTGCGAGGTGAGTCGCCACCTCTCCCTGGCGCCGGCGAGCTGCCATCGGCGACGCTCGTCTCGACCGACCACCCTTTTACGGATCGAGCGTGCGCCGCCCGAAGTTAATAGCCCAATCGAGTTACCTGCCGCCCAATCCGATAATCTCTCGTTGATTTTTCCACGCGTCCGCGGCGCGCGCGGACGGGGTGTGTCTGTTGTTTTTATTTACTCCCTTTTACGAATCGAGCGCTAACGTGCACATCCCCTGGCGACTCACAACGGCTGATCGACCGCGGGCAGCTTTACGGAGAGACGTCGAGAGGCCGCACCGGCAGTTCAGCGAATATACCGGTTATGAAGTGAGGCGAAGTCAGACAACACTTTTCGCCCGATGGATCCTTCGAGCAGCGTCCGACCAATGGGCGCGAAGCTCTTCAGGGTTTGGAAACACAGCGCGATGACTCGACGGTGCAGGGCCTTCGGTAACTCGATCGCGCTGAACGCAGAACGCTCTCGGGTGGTCTACCAATATCGCGACGACGGCGATCGCGCCATTTCTGTTTCGCACTTTTCGCCGTCGCGCGCGCGAGTCAGTCCGTCCAAGGATATTCTCGGTATTGAATCGTTCTCGCTCCGAATTGCGCGAGCGAAAGCAGACAGTCGGCTCTCCCGTTCGCGCCCGTCCAATAACAGCCGTCTTCCTCTGTCGCGCTTGCGCGGTTAATTAGAGAACTGCTATTCGCAGCAGCAACGCAGCTCGCGACGAATGTTTTTTGCCCGCGTACAGCCGCGCCAATCGCACGCGTAAACGCCGCGGCCGCGAGCGCGCTCTCGCGCTCCTATTGACGCGCTGCCGCCGACGCTCTATATTTCACGTTCGACTCGTTGGGAGCGCGGGCGTTAGCGCGGGCGAGAACGACCAGCGGGCGTCACGTCGCTCGAGAGAAAGAGAGAGATTCGCTTGCTCCTGCCGCGGATACGCGAAGGGAGCTGACGATGCCCGCTGACTTCCGAAACAGCGCGACCCCCACCCGCTGCAGCCGCTCCATAAAGGCGCAATCGTTTCGCAAATTCGTTAGCTCCGAGTGAAAGCGTGGCAAATTAAGTTCCCCGCTCGACTCGGCTCGGCTCGGCTCGACTCGACTCGCACGCGCGCGCGCGCGCGCGAGCCACCAGACAACCATTTTCACATGAGGCTGAATAGACGACCCCCTTGTCCTTTTCGTCGCGTGTACTTTTCGTTCCCCCTCGATCGTGTGCGCGCCACAATAGCGACAGCGCGAGCGAGGAAGGTCAACAGAATCCACGAATTCACGTGGCCGCCGCTGCTTCTTTGTAGAGTCCTCGCGGGAGCGTGCCGCTGGCTACGCAATAACACCGATATAAAAGAAAAATCGATAATCGACGTGTTCGCACGCTAGCGCTCGACGTTTTACGGCGCGCGTTCGACGACGTACGAGCCCTTCAACCCGTTCGATGGGCCGGCTATTTTTAAATTCTCAACGATTATCGGTGGTGTTAATAAAAAATGAAGCCTGAGTACGTTATGAACGATCGAATCGCTGAGTTTTCCCACGCGCATGTACGGGCAACTCGCCTCCTCCTTCTCCGCTTCCCCAAACAAAAGCAAGAGCTCGACAAGCTGATCACGCAAGGTAATCGATGGCGCTTTGCAGGTGCTGTACTGCGACAGCTGCCGCGAGTCCTGCCACCCCAAACGGGGTCCCCTGGCGACTCACAACCTGGGCCCGCCGCAGGGCAGCTGGGCGACGAGCAACGGCACGGCGTCGCGGGGATCCAGCCTGCAGAGGGAGAACGGCGTGGGCGCGCCGAGCTGCTTGGAGCACGTCGGCGAGACGGTCAGCCTGTACTGCGCCCTCTGCAAGATCGCCGCCTGCGGGCTCTGCCTGCGCGACCGGCACACCACCCATCCTCAGGACGTGCTGCCACTGGCAGCCGCCTGCAAGGCGCAAAAGGTAGGCTCACCCTCGCCGACCGCGTGGCCAGATGCTCTCCAGTTGACGGCTTGTTTATTTGGAGTTTGAGCTTGTTTCTTGGGCAGACTCCGCGGTGCCGATAACGCGCGGGCTCTTCCGCGCTAGTATATGCTGTCGACGCGCCTGCAAGCCAGCTTCGAGATGCGAGCGGCTCTCGTCCGTAAATGTTTACGGCTGGGCTACTTCATCGCGGCCCGCGATGGACGCGCGTCTCTTTGTTTCGTCGACTTCCGCAGTCGAACCGGCAGTCGCCGTCGTTGGTCAACTGGTCAGCGCCGCGGGAGATCGCTGCTATATTACGCAAGTCGCGCGAACGCTGATTAACACGTGCGCCAAGTGCGCGCGCTCGAGTGCGCCAAGGCGGTTGCGAGTTTACCCAAGTATTATATAAATTGAGGCGTGTTTGCTCGACTAAAGCGGCTTATAATGCACTCGCTCGCTGAGCTCACCCGAATAACCCATAATCGCGAGCGTCGTCAACCGGAAAAAGCAACAGCACAACGAAAAAGAAGAAGAAGAATAGCAGCAACAAACACTCCACAGTGTGGCACGACCTCGAGTTCGATCGGGCGCTATTAGTTACGCGATCTGCAGAGAGATATGGAGAATGGCTTTGTTGTTTGCGCGGCGATGATGTCGAGGGGGCCACTTCGAATGCTCGTAATTATATGCAAGTGTGATGTCCGATAGCGCGAGCGAGCCGTAATTGCAATCCGCTGGCGATACAGCGTCAACGAGCGCGCGCACGCGTTTGTTTACCCCCGTCACCGTGCCTGATTGCAGGCGGACGGACTTGGTGGAGTCACGGCGTTTCGTCCTGCGTCACATTACTTTTACGACCGTCGACCGACAGAAGAATAAAAATCAACGCGAGCGCTACCCGTCCCGTCGTGTCGTTCGCGCGCGCGCGGTCGTGCGATTTGCGAGCCGCGTGCGACGCCGACGTTGCCGCGTAATGCGCGGCTCGGCGAAATCGATCCTGCGTGTCGTTTGGCGCGACCGTGAGCTCGATAAAACGGAAAGCGGCGAGCATCGCGACGATACCGCATGTCGGACAGCACGACAATGGTCCGCGGAGGAGCGATTTTAATCTGCAGGAGAACCAAAAGCAATTACGACAACGCTCACGCGCGCGAACTTCGTGTTTTTTTTTTCTTTTTTTTTTCTTTTTTTTCCGCTCCCTCGTGGCGGCGGTTTTCTCGAGAAAATTAAAAAATGCTAGAATCCCTCGGTTTCCCGCTCACTCTCGCCAGGAGGATTCCTCGGAGCAAGATTAAAAATGCTTTACAAGCGTGTCGGGTAGAGAGCTCGCGTCAGCTCGTCAGAGAGAGTGCAGTTCGCGAGAATTTTCACGCCGCCTTTGCCGGTTAATTTTTCGATCAAGCCCTTTCCCTCGTTCCCTCTTGATTTCCTGGCTCGATTCTTCGAGCGCCTCATCGGCCGGTGCTCTCTCAATCGTGTTCGCGCAGTGCGTATTCTCGTGTCCGTGCTCTCCAAATGAGCGTCGATTATTTGACGGACGTCTGTCTCGCGAACAGCCGTCGCGCTGTCGCGCGAGGCCAATTTCAATTGGCAGTTAAAAACGAGCGCATCGTTGCCGAAGATACCCACGGCGACATTAACGTCAAAATACGGAGGTTTCGCGTCGCCTTAATAATACATTAAGCAGAGCCGATCGCGTCCGTTCCATCGGGCAGGCAGACAATGCGCCGCCACCCTTTCAGGTACGTATAACCGCACGCTCCGACGCATTCAGCCCGTGCGTCCTCATGGCACTTTGATGCACTCATCCCATTCTGCGCTCGCTCGGCCAATGATAAACTGGCTGCTGCAAGCCGGGCAGCCTCCCCTGCCACGCTCGCCGAGCGCACTTCTTCCGTAATTCATCGTGCATGACGTGCGCGCCGCGGCAACACCTGGCATTTCCTGACATATGCCGCGGCCGACCTCCCCCACCCCGCGCTAACCCCGTGGCCACGGCAAATTGCTCTGCGATTTTTCCGGATCGCAAAGCGTCAGCGCTCGTGGCCGGATACACGCCCCGACAGATGCTACAGTTCGCTGCCGAAGCCCGCAATTCTCGTGGCACATATTCGCGCGGCCGACGAAAGAACGGCGCGCTCGAGACAAATCGTCACCGCCGTCCGGCTGGCCGTGTGATCGATCTTCCGATGCAGCCCCCGATTCGCAGAGCCGACGAGAGGCAAAAAAGAGAGAGAGAGAGAGAAAGAGCGAGTGCAAATTGTTCGAAAGCTCGCCGGAATTGACGCGATACTCGTCCGGCGGTATTATCTCGGGCGCGCCGCCGCGCCAAAGGCAAAATAATGGAAAGCCGGACGAATTGAGCGCGCGCACGTCAGCGCCGCTGCCGTCCCTTTTATTTATTTTTCTACTCTTTCTCCTCGCGCGGAGACACGGCCCTTTCCCCGCGAACCGAGGCACATTGTCCGCCTCTCGGGTGCGATCGCGAGCGGCATCCGCGAGCTCTGCGGACGCTTTACCTCGGCACGAGGCGGCGGCGCGCCCTCCGCGTATGGCTCGCGGCTCCGATCGTCGGCTAATCGAGCGCGCTCAGCCGGCGAAATCCGGACGACGCGCGGCGTCTGCGGCCACGGCTAATCGCGCCACTTCGGCAACAATTTCCGCAATGACGCGCTATTCGCTGGCAACGCGCTGATTTCGCGACGCGGGGCATCGATTTATCGACCGCCGGTGCCCGTCATAGAAGATTCATTAATCTCCATGCGAGCAGGCGACTCGTTCTTGCCGTCCGTCTTAGTCATTTATTGAAATATCCGCGATCGCCTCGCTCACTCAAATCGATTTTAATTAAAAGCCCATTGACTGACTACTCGTCGGGATTATTAGCTCGCGTTCTGACTTGATATTCGATGCGTACACCCCAATGAAGAGTCATTCTCTGCCTCTGGCCGACACGTCGTTGCGGGTGCAATTTTTCATCGTAGCAGGGCAGCAGCATATTGGAATAATGCGAAGAAAACGGTTAGTCGATGCTCGCCAGTCAGCAAAATAAACATGAGAGAAGCGAATCGCATTCTATGCGAAAAAAGAAGCCCCGGCGAGAATACAGCGTGTGGATGTGTTGTGTTTGAAGCAACTAAAGATTGAGACAAAGAGAGAGAGAGAGAGAGGCTGGGAGGGGGTGTAGATGGAACTCGAGTAGCGGAGATAGGATAGCATAGAGGATGGCCCTTTCTGCTTACAAAGACGTAACTCGTCACTTTCGTGGTCGTCACCGCGTATCCAGCAGCGGGAGAAATTGTGTGCGCGCGCGGGGAAACTGACGAGTGAGTTGAGTGCCCACCACGACAGACGCATCGAGATGCGAGCTCTTGGAGTGTGCCGCCGTGCCGCGTAGGAGGCTGCTTTTTTTGTCTTGCCAGACTAATTAACGTCGACCTTTGCCGCCGCTGGATTTTCGCGCACGCTGTGGGAGCCACCGATTGTTTTCGACGTCGGACTTGCGATCGGATGCGACTGCACAAAGCACGCACCCGCCCACGAGAACGCCCGCTCGATAATCAAACTCGTGGACGCGCGATAAAGGTGAATTCGAAACTGGAAACACGGCGACACGAAAAAAAGGAAAAATTAGCGAGTGTCCCGATGAAGGGGTGGAAAAACAAGCAGTTCAGAGCGAGAGAGAGAGAGAGAGAGAGAGAGAGAGAGAGAGAGAGACAGAATTGTCGCGCAATCATCGCGTCGAGCAAACACGCGAATTACGTTTGATATTTGCTCGACGCATTTGACGTCGTCCCTACCGGTCCCAAAACGAGAGAAAAAAGAAGCAACTCCTCTCGTCGCTAAGCACCAAACTGCCAGCGCGTCGGCTAATTCATGTGCATTATTCAGCGAGCGCGCGGCGACGAATGTTTGCGGGAGCGAGTAGGTTACAACGCGTGGAAAACGCGCGAAATCGCCCGGGTCAATCGAAAGCACACGCGGATGACTCGTTTCTCCGGTAGCGAACGAAGGAAAGGGAACGGTGCGCGCTTCGCCCGAACGAATGAGAAATGAAGTGACCGATGTCGGTCGACCGGTAAAGTCTCCTCTCCGGCGTACGATCATGTCGATTACGCGGCGGCTATGAAGCGTATGCGTAAAGCCGAGTACTGAGCTGCCAACTCGATCGTCGCATAAGCAACTGCACAGTCCGCCGTGTAACGAGGCCGACGCGCGGCGTTCAATTAAGCGCTTAGCGAGTAAAAGTCGATCCGCCAGCAGTCGCCGTCGACGGGTTGCGCTTGACTTGAGCTTCTGCCGGCGGCATTGTTTGCGCGAACGCGCTCGCATCTCCATCACGGGCGCAGCTGGACGAAGCGATCGAGGTCTTCTCGTTCCCGAGCCCCGGCGATTCCACTTGAAGAACCGCTCGTGCGCAGCGCAAAGTGCTGCTGCTGCAGCCGTGCAGCCAATTAAAAATCAATCGCGCGCCAGTCGCTTGATTAGCCGCGCGCGCGCGAGAATTGCGGCCGAAGAGAGAGAGAGAGAGAGAGAGCGAGAGAGAGAGAGAGACAGTCGCTTCGCGTTTGTCGCCTCATTGTTTCCGCGACGGCTACTCAACGTCAGTTGACGCGAGCTTGGGGGCTCTTTTCGTCCCGTCTCTCTGTCGCACGCGCTGGCAATACGTCGGGGGACTGGGAAGATTTCAGAGGCGTCGGGCCAAGCGACGAATCTGACTCGCGTTCGCCCGCGCAATTTCATAAAGAAAACGAGCGAGCGTCCCTTGCGCCTCCGATCGCGAGCGAAAGGTCGCCGCGGCGAACGGGAGGAGAAACGGGCTCGTCGAGGCGTAAAGAACAAAAGGCGCCTCATTATTCGAACGCCGAAATCACGAGCAGCAGCCGTGCGAGAGCACGCGCCAGAAGAATCCTCGGGGCGAAATCTTCCGCGTCGGCGAGTACGGTAGAGAGAGAGCCTTTTTAAAAAGCTCACGGCTGGCTGCACGCGCACGCACG